GTTTTAATTTGAAAGGTCTGATTTTTGATGAGAAAAATATTTTATTTCTGTTTTTAGTTTGAACTGAAGTTTCTGCTTCAGCTTTGATCAGAACAAGTTTAGGTCCAAATGCTGAAACATGTGGTTCTGGTTCTCCTCTCCTGGCAGACTGCTCCAGGCCCGTGGTGTCCGGCACCGGCTCGGCCCGCAGCGCCAGCCGCAGGAAGAGGACCAGCTTCTCCAAAGAACACGTGGAACTCCTGCGGGTCACCTTCGAGACGGACCCGTACCCGGGTATCAGCCTCAGAGAGAGTCTGTCCCAAACCACCGGACTGCCCGAGTCACGCATCCAGGTACTGACCCAGATCCTCACCTGACCCAGATCCCTCACCTGACCCAGATCCCTCACCTGACCCAGATCCTCACCTGACCTAGATCCTCACCTGACCCAGATCCTCACCTGACCCAGATCTTGGACCAGGGGTCACCACCCTTTGACACTAGGAGCTACTTCAGGGAACTGAGGAACACCAAGATCTACTTGATACAAACATAAATCTGCACGGCTCACCTTTAAATATAATTTATAATAAATTTACACATGTAAATATTTAACTTGCTCATTAAATCTCACTGTTAAAGACTCCTCATGATGATGATAATTTACTGTGTAGAGATGAGACATTATTATGATTAATAATAAGTCATTTAAACTTCATGAAGCAGCAGGAGGATCAACACAGAAAAACAAGTAAACTGTTTGTTAAACAGTTAAAACACACCTGTTTTAAAAACGTAGTTTATTTCTGTAAGAAAATAACTTCTTTTCCATTTTTTAAAAGAAACTTTTACCAGTAAAACATTTAACTCTGTGCTCATCATTCCCACTAACTCTTGTAAAAACAAAATATCACTTTAAAAAAAAAAACAAGAAAAAATTTCCTCCCAATCATTGTGAAAATTATTTGTTTTCCTGCGTTTTAATGCTTGTTTCTACGGAAACCACGAGGGGACACGGGGGTCAATGTTGCGTTCCCAGGCAAAGTTTGATTTGTAAATGAACTGAATTAAATCAGACTTTTATTTTGAAATATCCGATTACAAAAACAGGATGTGTCGCCACATGTTTGTGACATTGACATTGATGTTGTGTGRCTGCACTGTGTTCAAAAATCAACATATGACACACATGTGTGTGTCTGTGTGATATATTCATTCTGCAGCTGAATTAAAGCAGTAAGCTAACACGCTAATGGTGAACATGTGAGTTTGTTAATAAACCAGCAGCACAACACTGATTAACAACTTTTGCGAGGGAAAGCAAAAGGTATTGCGAGGTAACGCAAAAGTATTGCGAGGTAACGCAAAAGTATTGCGAGGTAATGCAACACTTTTGCGTGGGAACGCAAAAGAAAAAAAATCTCCCATGTCCCCTCTCTGGCTCCGTACGTCCCCCCCCCCCCCCMCTCGGAGGTAAACAAACTGARTATCTGAGCTCTGAGGGGTAATTTTCCGAAGGGTGGGGGTTGGGCGTGGAGAACTTGTTGAGTTTGTTGTGTTTAACAGGAGGTGTGTCTTTAACAGCAGCTCTTGTTGACATTATTTAGAAAGTGTTGTGTTAATAAAAGCTCCACAGTTTAACATTTAGAGCGCTGCTTCGATGACGGTCAGCCCGCGGGCCTCGTACTGCTGACTCCTGGTCTAAAAGCATCGCTATGAGCTCCTGCAGCAGAAACACTAAAACCAACAAAACATTGATTCAAAGTCTTTTTTTAAAAGCTAAATGTAGTGAAAACTGGTTAAAAACAACTTGGTAAATAGCATTAGCAGAATTAGCATTGACTGAGTTAGCATCAGCAGAGTTAGCATTAGCAGAGTTAGCATTAGCTGAGTTAGCATTAGCACAATTAGCATCAGTAATTTTGTCTCACTTGTATTAGAAACAAAAATACAGCGGACAGCTCTGAGCTTGTTGAGTCTGGGATTAAGTTAAGATAAAATCAGGATTATTGCACCAATAACTGATCTCTTTAGATTCAAACTTCAGGCTCGTCATCAGGTTGTGTTGTGATGAGAAACGTTTAAATAAATTAAAGATTTTTCTTAGCCGTGCTGTGATACAGTTGTAAAATAAAACGTGTTAGGTGCAGCCCAGCTGTGTCCAGATGTTGGTTCTTCAGGTGTTTTTATCAAAAGTCTCTGTTTGTAAATCAGGTTATCTGGGCTTTTATCTGGAAAAAGCTGCTGACAGAAACTGTTTGTTTGTTTCTGCCTCTGAAGCCTGATTGGTCAGTAAATAATCAACCAAACCTTCAAAATAAAACTCTTTGTTTTTCTGCTGTCTCTGGTCCAGGTCTGGTTTCAGAACCGAAGAGCTCGGACCCTGAAGTGTAAAGGAGCTAAAAAGGTTCTGTGGCAGTCTGACAGCCCAGACCATGATGCCTTCCCTGCCCGTCCAGCTGGAACCAACAGGGGACCCCTGACGGTCCCCCTGAGGCCCCTCAGACCCCCWCCAGCCTACCCAGCTCAAGTGAAGCAGGAGACGGAGGACGACAGCTATGGACTCTGTCCTCCTGCCTACCCCGCCTCTGAGGACCACAGACCCTGTCCTCCAGCCTTCCCTGAGGACCAGTTTGGCTCCATGTATGATCTCCGACAGGTGGATAGCTCCACCGCCCCCCACTTGAGGGTCTTCTGGACCCAGCCAGGCAGCCAGAACCCCCCTCTTTGGTGCAGTCCACCCCTGGAGATGAGCTCAGGCTCCAACCAGGTCTTCATGTACCTGGAACCAACAGAGCAGCAGATCTACCCAAACTCCTCCAGCTCCCTGACCTCCAGCCCCAACACGCCGGACTCTGGGTACTGGGAGGTCAACGCAGAGAGCACTGCCTCTGCTGAGGGTCCACACCCCCAGCTGGAGGACTCGTGGAGTGGAGAGACCCCTGAAGACTGCAGGGACTTGGTCCAGCTGGCACCCCTACCTGTGCTGTCCCTTCAGGAGATCCTGGGGGAGCTGGATGAGGACTGGCTGGGAGGAAAAACTGCTGAGGACAGAAAGACTTTCTGTTGATGAAGATGATGTTGATGAAGAAGATGATGAAGATGATGTTGATGAAGATGGTGAAGATGATGAAGATGATGATGTTGATGATGATGATGATGATGATGATGATGGTGGTGATGATGATGATGATGATGATGATGATGGTGGTGGTGATGAAGATGATGATGATGATGAATATGATGATGACGATGATGATGATGATGAATATGATGATGAAGATGATGATGATGATCAGAAGGATTCAGGATCAGATCAGGTGTTTGTTCGCAGAGTTTAATCCTTTTTTAAATGATTCAATCGTTTTTTTAAAATAATTTAGGTTTTCTGTATTTATTCATTTATTTTAGTTTTTATAACAAGTATAACATTTATACAATGTACAGTTTTCTGCACTTTAAATAAATAAATAAATCAATAATTGCTTCCAAATGCATTCCATTCATTTATATGGAGACACATTGGTTTGTGGAATAACTTCTTCCCACAGCCACAGGTTTCATGATCCACAGATAAGTTATATATCAAAACGTAGATATTTTTGTCTTCTTTCAAACGTTGCTTCTGGTTCTGCTGTAGGACAGATGGTTTTCTGTCAAAGTGTGTCAGAAGTCAGGGACCTTCCACTTCCTGTCCTATAGATCTCCATGTTGGACTTTCGTCACGCTCAAAGAAGACTTTGTTTGGATTTTAAAAATCGTTCTGAACTTGTCATTTTTCTGACAAAGTGCTCCAAAAGATGGAGTTTGTGTAATTCAACATGGCACGCAGACAGCTCAGAGTTTTGGGATTTACGGAGCTGAAATTTGGTGGTTTGGTAGCTGAGAGCTAACTCAACACATTCTGAATGCTAATCACAAGTTCAAGCTAACTGCTAATGTTTGCAATGACTATGAAGTTTTTTTTCTTCACATTAGTTAAACTAAACAACATTCACAGCGAAACACCAAAAAACAAGTTAGAGTACTAACAACAGGCTAACATTAGCTACCATTGTTAGCTTACCATTTGTCCTGCCCTCTCATCATTCGTTCAGCTGGATGGTCTGCTACAGTCTTCAGGACCTTTTTCTTTGAGTTTAGTGTAATCCATTATTGTTGAGTCACAGATATAATGAAATAAGATCTGCATGTTTTAAATATTTACATAGCACCTACAGTGAGGCGGCTCTGTGCTCAATGCAAACACAACCAGGACCTGACCGGGCCGGGCCGGGCCAGGCCGGGCCAGGCCCATTGCATTCCAGCAAGCAAGTTATCAATAAATTCAACAATCTCATTCCACATCACGCCATGAACTTTCATCATTTTCTTTAGTGGTGTAAGAGTAACCTCTGAGTTTCACCTGGTGACTGCTGATGGTCCATGGGGGGACAGGGTGGTCTATGAGTTGACAGGATGATCTATAGGGGGTCAGGATGATCTGTAGGGGGTCAGGATGGTCTATAGAGGGTACAGGATGGTCTATAGAGGGTACAGGATGGTCTATAGAGGGTACAGGATGATCTATAGAGGGTACAGGATGGTCTACAGGGGGTCAGGATGATCTGTAGGGGGTCAGGATGGTCTATAGAGGGTACAGGATGGTCTATGAGTTGACAGGATGATCTATAGGGCGTCAGGATGGTCTGTAGGGGGGACAGGATAGTCTACTCCTAGTTACTACTATAATCCACCAGAGGTCCTCAGTGTCTCTTTTCTTTTTTCAAACAGAWCAGTTCTTCTCTCCTGATCAAGAACCAGAACCTGAAGAGTTCAGTCGTTGATCTGAACCCGTTAGACTTGAGTTCTGGAATTATTCTCTTGATGACTGAACTTCAGGTCAGTGAGTCCAGATCCATCCTTTGGTTCCTGGTTCTCACCTCACAGGATCAGTTCAGACTCAGGGATGAAACGTGTCATGGATGAAGATCAAAGACAGTAAACAGGAAGTTAAACCTTGTTTCCTGTTTCTGTTGGTCCTGCAGCCTCATCATGTGAGGAAGGGTGGGGTTCTTTTGTTAGCATGTTCCAGGGGTTCCTGTTCCAACACGCGAAGAACAAACAAACACAAGACTAGCAGAGGTGCTCACCAAACAAAACCAGAACCAGAACCGAATAATATCCAGCAGCTGAGTACAAAGATTTCTGGTCCAAAATTAATAATAATAATAA